TTAAAACATATACTATTCAATAACCAATATTTTAAAATATTAATTCCTATAATGTAACATATACGAATTAAGATGAATATTGTTTGGAGAACCATTTTTGCAAGCTTTCTATAATGTAGGATCCTTGAGAATATAATTTTTTTTATTTTCCCTTTTTTAATAGTTCTTTTCCTTTTTTGACAAACCATTTCATTTTTTTATCATACTTTTAACGGGAAATTACCCGTGCTTAAAAGAAAATGGCAATGAATAAAAATACAATCAAATCAGATTTTCATGGGCCTTGGTTTTTTGATCAGGCCTAGCCCAGGCCTGCAAAAAAATTTGTTTTAAGTCAATATCTGACCCATAATTAATAATAAAAAAATTCTCAAGCGTCCAAGCTCATAATAATTTTAAAAAATTTTCCCCAAGCCCAGCCCAATATAATTTATAACAATATTTTCCAAGCCCAGCCCAACCCATAATAATTTTATAAAAAAAATTTCTCAAACCTGGCCAACTCATAGTAATTTTCAAAATTTTTTCCCAAACCTGGAGATATGTAAATCTCTAAAAACTATATCTATTTTTTATTCTATTTAATCCAGCTCACCCCGACCAAGGTCAACCCATTAAGACTAAGAGTGAATACTATTTTTTTAAATAAAAATATATCTAAATTAGTTTTTACCTGAGGGCCATATAAATATTCTGTGTTAAATATTAAACCTATGCCTAATATTAAAAAAACCCAAGCAAGGTCCTAGCACTTGGGAAAATTTTCTCAAACCCGCCAAAGACCATAATAATTTTAATAGCTGAGAACTTAAATAAAATATATAAAAAGTCATAATGCATTTAAAAATACAATCAGAATATGAAAGTTGCATGGGCCTTGGTTTTCGATCAGGCCTTGCCATGTGTTTAAAAGAAATTTTCAGGCCAATTTCTAGCCCATATTTAAAATTAAAAAATTTACAGGAATCTAAGACTATAATAATTATGAAAAATGTTTCTCAAGCTATGTACAAGTCCATATTAATGGTGAAAAATATTTCCCAAGCCCAGTTTCCTTGGATCCAGAAAAATAGGTCTGATGTAAGGGGTTTATAAGAATTAAATCTGTCTAATATGTACATATTTTTTTTGCCATTTTATATGGAAAATTTTTCAATATTATCATCAAGTGAAGGGTAAATATCTGATTTACCTATCATTCTACTGGTTAGCTCCTGGTATTTATATGAAATTCATGAATACACAGAAAATATGTTCATCCTAATTTAAATTTTAAACAAACTACCACCCTTCCAAATGATTTATTACTTAGTTACAAAATATAAAATTAAATTTAAGACATTGTTATTAAATTACAATAGAAAAAATAAAAAGATATGTCTAAGTTAACGAATAATAGGTGGTTAACTTTATGGTTAGCAGGGATCAAGGCAAGATTAAACAAAATTTTTTATTATATAAATATATTTTTAAAATATTAAACTACAATTTAACTAAAAAACTATAATAAATTTATCCTTTATATATACAAAAAATCTATTAAACAAAATGAAAAATGGTGTTAATTTAATGAATGTAAGATACAAAAATTTGCTCTAAATAATAACCATTATAATAAAATATTAATCCATGTTCAACATTCCACCCTCTACAGGAACCCCGCCTAGGCTCTCTTTAGATGTAAATCTTTCGTGTTCAAGGAGTTACCCATCTATTTTGATCATAAAATCTGTCATAGTTTCGTCTTGGAAAATGATAGTTATTTTGGTTGTAAATCTTATCTTGCCTTGCTCCCTCCAAATCTTTAAAAAAAGGTTTAGTATGTGATTCGACTTTGTCATCCTTCTGTTAATTATCATCTTAATTTGTTATTGAATAATTTTAGAATATATGTATTATTGAATAAGAATCGCCGAATAATCGAAATAGAATTAATTTAATGAATATCGAATTTGAATAAGAATAATTAAAGTAGAATATTTGGAATGAAATAAATAATTGGTCGCATTTTATTTTAATTATATTATATTATAAATATTGCGTTTTAAATAATAGCGTTTTATATAATAATTTCTATCAATATAAAAATTCAATTTTATCTTCTTTTTTTAAAAAATATCTTCAATTATAGCGTTTTATTTTTTTATTTATATCGTATTTCAATTATTTTTATTTAAATTTTACTCCCTTATTTTTTAAATCAAACAATAACTCAAAATTACTGTTTTCTTTTATCTTCAATAAAAATAATGTTTTAAAGTAATTATTACTTATACATATTTTATCCTTTAAACATAATTTAAATTTGGAAAATTCGTCCACTTTATCATTAATTATATAAGGTAAATGTTTAATTGTATTGTCAATTCTCTTGATTTTTTTATATTTGTAAGTGTCAAGCTTTAATAATTTGTCTATTTTTTTTAAACTATTTGTGTATGGAAATTTCATCAATTTCATTTTCATTAATTTTTTCAATACTAAGATTTATATCATTATTTTTACAGTCATAATACTCTTTTAAAATTTCACCATGTGATCTTATGGCTATATTTATATTTTCATCATTTTTATATTTAGATACTAAAATTATTTTAAATGATATTATGTCAACAAAAATTTCCTTTAATTTATAAGTATTAATTATATGTTTATCCATATTTATATTCTCATAAGATTTATATCATTAATTTTATATATCCATTTGAGCCTTTTCAGCAAAGCATCTGGAGATTCAAACTCCTCATCTGTCGACATGGCTCTTATTAAGCTAAAGATATTATCTGGTAAATTAACAGTTAGTGTTGATTGATCATATATTTAAATAAATTTAAATAATTAATCTTAAATTTAAATAGTTAATCTTATATTATTAATTGATATGTTTGATATAATTTAACTATTTCAATTACCATAGTCGACTTTGGTTATTTTTAATTTACTTATTATTCACTAAACGTGATTGTAAACATTTGTTATATTATATATTTTTCAATTAACTTTTATATATATATATTGATATATTTTTAGTTCTTTTAGATATAGAATAATAATAAAATATTTTAAAAAATAATTAATTTGAATAGCTTACTTCAGTTAGCATAGCCTCACAACTACTGTTGAGCTTACTATATTTAAAAAAATTCTCAGCCTCAGCAATATAAGACTGTATGTTGCCGCTATACTCCGGAAAAGATAATATCATAATGTTTATTTTATAAATATTTTAGAGATTTTATAATAAAAATTTTAATAAAATTTTTTTAACTTTTTCAAATTAATTATTTCTTACATGTTTTTAGAATAAATATAACATTCCAGAATTTTTTTTATCTAGTTGACCATATTTCAGTAGCTAAAATCATGTTGTCTGTGGATTTAGAATATGTAAGTCATCATAGACCAATTTTAGTAATCATTTCCATTATCCATCATAGCTCCGTCTAGTTTGATATTTAGTTTAACAATTCTCCTCATAGTTGATTGATCCATTTGATCTAATTTATATTTTTTTGCGAAAATAAATAAATTTAATTTAAAATCGTATATTCGTCCGCTGCAACCATATAAAGGTTAGCAGGGATCAAGGCAAGATTAAAAATTTTTTATTATATAAATATATTTTTAAAATATTAAACTACAATTTAACTAAAAAACTATAATAAATTTATCCTTTATATATACAAAAAATCTACAATTATGTGATACGTGATAAAAGCATTTTCGCCCTCTGGTTGTGGATACAACAGAGCTACGCTAGGTTTTCCTCAAAAATCCATCAAACTGGATAGTTAATTAAGGGGAGAAAAATGAGGAGCCCTTCACACGTTTGTGGGCAAGCCGCACGTACTTGTACGCCCAACAGTCCGAGAACTGTTGCTTAAACGTCTATAGGCTAATAAACAAAAAGAAATGGACAAAACAAAAGCCTGTACCCAAGAACTGCAAAAATAATTTAATTACTTTAAGGGTGGGTGGTGGCTAATTTTAAGTTTAACATCTAATGTAAGCCTTGATAATTACTATCAATAATTGAGAATGTGATCATATCAATTGAAATTAGAATTTATTCATGAAAATAAGAAGGAGCTAATGGGTTTACCGCAAATTGTTTAAATAGCTGAAAATTCCAGTGAATAGGCAAAAACTAGTCAGTAATAGTTTTATGACTATCCAGCAACGAACACCACACAACAAAGGTTTTTTTTCTTTTTCCAGAGAAACAAAATACTCTATGGAGTGATAGATAGATTATATAGCGAAAAAGGTCTTTGATATTGAAATTATGACGCAGAAATAGGAACCAGCGCCGTAAGTTTTAGGAAATAGAAAAGTAATTGTTGGCCAGGATTAACAAAAGGCATTATGGCTTGATTGTTATATGATAGTCTATCACTCATGGAAAGACTCTTCCAACAAACATAATTAGAAACCTCGCTACCCCCCCTGTCGACTGGTTTCTTCATAAATGAAATAACAAGTGGTCAAAGACTAAGGGAAAACAAAGCTCCGGGGCTAGATAATATCACAGCAGAAAAACCAAAAATAGCACCTATAACAATATCTCGCTACCTATTTGCCCTCTTTCAATAAAATATGGCAGTGGGATGGAACAAATCCTACCTAAGTAACTTCCCAAAAACTAAGACCACAGAAATTAAAGGGTTACTGAGCTATAGCCATCACATCCTGTAGCATGGAAAAAAATTTTTTGGTTCACTCTAAAAACCACAAGCATATCACCTACACTGATCTCCCCCCCCCCACCCCCCCCCCCCCCCCCAAAAAAAAAATACATAAGTATATACAGGCCAAGAAAAGAAAATACAGGAGCCAAAAATTAATTCAGAAAAATAATCATGCAGAGAAAGTAAGTACAAATCCCCTTCTACTTTACATTTGTAAATTATAGCAGAGCTATTGATAATGTTAACCATGCAGCTTCGTTGTCAGAAAAGGGAAGACCCCAACATCTTCCAGATCCAGAAAACCACTAATACATGTTTGGATGCTTCGAAATCAATGACGAAGAAAATCCCCTGCCTCCAAGGTAAAAAGGAGTAAAACAAGGCTAAACTCTTGCCACTCCTAAATAAATAAAAATATAAAAATAAAAACAAACGAGAAACACTGGCAACGACCAATGCATTTTATGTAGACTCCAATTTAGATGTAATGTTTTGAAAAAGAAAAAGGTTAAAGACGTTAAAACAGTTTTCCTCTTTATTTTTCCCAAGAAAACAAGTAACCACTTCAAAAACTTATAGTTAGAACAGGGTAAATGTAGTCACAATGTATTTGGGAAATATACTTAATAATAAAAGTAGTTGCAGAGAAGAAGAAAAACTAGAATACAAAGGCGAGTGGAAACTTTTAAACGTATACAAAAACTATGGAAGATGAGAGAGAAATCGGTGTTTTCTAGACTGAGGGCACGTCCACTATTCCTATATTAGTTTATGGAGGGGGCGAACATGTTAGAGAAACCAAAGAAACTGGGGAAGAAAAAAATAAATAGAAAAAAAGAAATAAAAAAAAAGAAAAGAAATAGATGACTATAAACAAATAAATGTCTCATAAACAAAAGAGGATACCCTCTACCCCAGAATACTTTTCGAACTCAAAAACTATGGAAAAATACAAAACATACTCAAGAACTAAGTTAAAAAGAGCCAAAGATTAATTTCTAGCCCACATAAGAAACGCAAAATCACAAACTATTTCTCAAATGTCATTAATATATCTTAACTCATATAATGGGAAATGTATAGAAGTGCAACAAACATCTAAGACATTGTTTATGTAATTAAAATATGGGACGGACTAATTTAAATTAAATGAAAGATGGTGTTAATTTAATGAATGTAAGATACAAAAATTTGCGCTAAATAATAACCATTATAATAAAATATTAATCCATGTTCAACACTTCAATCATAGTCAAATTATATATAAGTAAAACAAAAAGGTTATACATTTAATCAAAAATGTTATAATAAGTTATGAATAACATACATTCTACAATTATGAAGTTATCAGAAAATATACAAAATTTTCCTATCTTATGAGGTGTTATTTAAAAATTTATACTTATTTGGAGTTATTCTAAAATTTTCCATTATTATTATAAAATATGTTAATGAAGTATATATTTAGTAATTTTATTTATGTGTTATTCATTTGTATTTGTAATTTATAATCTAATAATTTATTCTTGCTAGATGAGAGTTTTGTGTTACCAAAGTGTGCTTTGTGCCTTCCATTATTAAAAGCCCTTAAGGAAGGATCCATTCCACATTCTATTAAATATTTGAATTTTATACAACTATATATCTTTCAATTAGGTAATTTTATATTTTTTTATATTATAAATTACAAATACAAATGATTAAAAATTTAGTTTAAAAGATTATTTATTGTGCACATAAATTAAAATATTAATCATATACTTATAATGGAAAATTTTAGAATAACTCCTCATCTAAATAAATATAAATTTCTGAATCACATCTCATAAGATAAGAAGATTTCTGATTCATTCATTATCAAATAAAGGAAAATTTATTATTCATCTATCATTGAATAAAGAAGAATATCTGATTCCCCGTCATTCTTGATAGGCAATCAGCTGGTAACTTATATTTTTGATAACGGGTTCTTAAAAAATCTCTAAAATATATGTAAAAGGAAAGGTCACAATAGGCATTATTTTTTTTTGCTATTTATGTTAAAATAAAAATGGATTCATATTTTTTCCATATATACACTTCACAATGGCTTTCTTTATTTGCTTGTGTACAAAATTTAATGAATCCAGCAATCAGAAATTTTTTGCAAATGATTTAAATAAGGCATATCTGTGATTTTATTATTCCTTTAAGTTCAAATAAAGTCAGATGGAAAATGAAATAATTCAGTTATTGAAATTAGATCACGGGACTTGATTTTCATCAGCATCCAGCCCAGGTCAGCAGTAAAAATAATTTGCAGGCCCAGTTCATATTTAATAAAATATTCAAACCCAAGCTCATCATAAGTTTCAAAAATTTATCCCAAGTCTATATCCAAAAATTTAATTTATTGTTTTAAATGAATAAATAAACAATATTTAAGTGTATTTAGGCAATCACTTTGTTTGCAATACTGACATTTATTATTATTAGAAGAAAAAAAATTGCAATATATTTTTAAGTTAGGAACAGTTTAATAGGCTAAAAAATGAAAAATTTTTAGGCTTTTTATCAAAAACCCTGTCCTGGACCAGGCACGTTAGTAAATATATTTTGACAATAATAATTTTTTTTGATTGATTGATTATTTAAGAATATATTAATCTATTTATATTAAAAAAAATCTAAGAATTTTAACTTATAAATAAATTATAGCTAGTATTAGATTATTCTATATCCCTATTTTTTCTTACTGATAAAAATATATTACTCTAATTCTTTAAAACATTTACAAGTATTGAATTAAGAGTTTTTAACTGATGTATGGTTTCATATAGTGCTGTAAACGTTTCTACAAAAAAAAAACGCTTTACCGTTACTCGTTACCTTTTCAAAAAAGGAACGTGCGTTACCGACTTTTCAAAAAAGTAACGGGCTACTCGTTACTTAAAAAATTAAATATATACAAAAATAATATTTATTTTTTTCCGATAATATATAATAAAATAAAACTATACAAAAAGAATATATAAGATCGTTTTATAAAAAAATTATTAATAAATTTAATTATAATATAAATAAAATTATACAAAAATAATATATTATAAGATAACATCTTTATGTAACAATTTTTTATTTATTTTTAGCAACAATTACTTTCAAAATTTTGATCAGACAAACAAGAGCGCTTAGTGCTCAACACAGCTGGTTAAATAATGGGATGTTATATATAGTATTTTAATAATAAATAAAATCTATAATGAAATTCTCTGTAAAATTTTGTTATTGGATAAATCCTGGCTACGCCATTATTTCATATATATATATTATTTAAACAAAGTTTTTTAAAATCACCATTTTTTTTATCAATTATAGTAGAAATAGAAGATATAAAAAACTTAATATTTGAACCAATACCAATATTTTTTGTTAATCTTGGGTTTTTAATGTTAGTTCCTAGCCCAATACTGTAGTATAATTTAATTGCTTATATTTAGGATTGTTCCAATCCACATATTTTTCACCGATCCCATCAGATATTGCTTCAAAACCGATCCGATATGAATACCGATTCGATATTTATATTGATTTTTTACAACCCCCCTTTGAACCAAATGTAATTAAGAAACCAATATTTTTTAAGCAAAAAATCAAATTAATCTTTTTTATTTCTACAATTAAGACTATAATTATAAAAACATATATTTGATAATATATCCATTTTATGTTGAATTATAAAATTGTATTAATATATAAAATTATGATATTAGATTTTTTGATAAATACGAGAGCCTCTAGATTTTCTGACAATAAGCTTCTACCATATGGAGTATCTATATCCCCTGCCGTATTGAAGGTAAACTCAGATGATTTCGCAGATAACGCATTTTGCAAAATTATCTTTGTCTTTTGTAAAATATTTCCATAATTTAGATACCATATTAAAAAAATTCTTTTATTTAAAGTAAAAATAATAAAATTGGCGTTATTATTTAAAAATATTGTAGATGATTAAATTTTGGGTGTTCCTTTCTATTTTTATAAAAAAAACTTTTAAAATACTATAAATCTATTTTTTAAAAAATAAAATTTAGAGGGTGTTGTGCATTTGCATTGTTTAAAAAAAAAATTATTTAAAAAATATTATAATAATGTAAAATAAATACACATAACATAAAATAACAAAAAAAAGAAAAGTAAAGAAACCGGATCGGGTTTTTACAGGTATGGGCCCGATCCGATATTTTTGGAAAATGCTAAATATGGGAGTAGATTTAATCCGATATTTAATATCGGCACAGCTCTACTTATATTTTAATTCCATAGTTAAGCTTTTCAAAATATTATGAAAGAATATTAATCTATTGTTAAAGTAAAATTCATCTTTTTACCTTGAAATGCTTTTTTAAGTTTGAACTGCTGTACATTGAGGTTAAAATATTTGTGTTTGGATATAATTTACATTTACAAAGTGTAGACTTGGTGCCACTAATTTTCTTTATTGATTTAAAATATATTTCAAATTGGGACCAGAGAAGGGTTGAATTATCTTCATCTGAAGAAGTACTGGACATAATATTCTTAAAATAAATTATAAGAATAATAATATCATTATTAACATTTACTTTGAATTTTGATTGAATATTAATTTCGACAGAAAATTTAACAACGGGAATTTAAAATAAAAATGAAAGAAGTGGTTGATATGAATTAAAACTCGGCTTAAATTATTTATATTAAGAATTAAGAATTAAAAAATAAAAAATAAATAAAAATAATTTTATAATACAATAAAATATGTTTTTCTTTTTGTTGATATTTTTTAAGAAAAAATATAAAGTAACGAGTAACTTTTTGCGTTACCGTTACTCAAAAAAAAAGAAACGCGTTACCGTTACTCGTTACCTCTAGAAGAAGATAATGAATGAAGTTCTTTTAAGATGTTACTTTTTTGACGTTACTTCACAGCACTAGTTTCATATATAGATCCTGATGTTACTGGTTCAAAAAACAAAAAATTAAAAAGAATATTTATTGATATTATTTAAAGAAAAATAATGTTACCATAATTTTTATTCATTCTACCAAAATATATTAAAATTTTTAAAATAAATAGTAATTATTATTTTATAAAATTTTTGGATTTAGAGAGAAGTTGTTTGGAAATAGAATAATATTTCTTAAATAAAAAATAAAACTTGGTATTTATTCTATCTCCAGTTTTAAAATAATAATAAAAATGATTTTTTTAAAAATATATCATGGTATTTTATATAATTAAGTGATGAGTAACTATTAAATATACACATGAATTTCATATAAAACCTTCTCTTATCTCAAAAAATCATTTAAATGCTTTTAAGACCTTCATAAATACTCTTTTAAACAAACCCCCTAACATAGAATTGAATCAAATATGGGGTCAACCTGATTGTGTCACAAAAACTATGTGGTGGTATTCATACCATTGCAACTGGCTATTTAGAAGATTATTAACAAAAATAATTGCTATGGTTCAAAATCAGAGTTAATTTATTAAGTATTCATAGCAATAAGAATTGAGTGTTAAGGGAGAAGTCAAAATAGCATGCCATTCCTATTATATTCAGAATCCTCCTCCTAACATGGATATTATTAAAATCTACTATAAAAATGTTTTGATAATAAATTTCGAGAACATTTAATTGTTTTACTCCTAAATTCCTAGAGACATACATGGTAAAATGTGTTAGAACTGGTAGCTTGTCTTGTCCTTCACTGCGGAAACAAATAATTAAGTGGCTTCCTCCACCCAAAAAGGGGCATATCCAGTGCAGTAAATTTGGATACACTGTTTGGCAGTAAAATTTACCCTACTGTCAGGGTCCGACAGTAATTTACATTGGTAAGAATAGAAAAATAAGAAAAATTATTAATAAAGAGTGTGCTTAATTTTTTAGAGTATTTATTTCAATAGATTAGTGAATTTTTGCATTTAATCTTTCTCTATTATTACCAATATTCTAAGTAAATTACTGTCGGGCCCTGACAGTAGAATAAATTAATGTCAATTAGTGAATCAGGTACCGTCATCCTTCTTTAATTAAATGGGCCCTGATATTAGGGTAAATTTTACTGTCAAACAGTGAATGCAAATCCACTGCACTGGATATGCACCCTTTTGGGTGGTGGAAGCAACTTAACTGTGTGTTTTTAATATGATAAACTATTAATGATTAGATGCAATTATATACCTAATTAAATTTTTTTATAATCATTCATTAATGTTATTTCTAGATTTACCATCAAATATTTTGTTACAATTATGGATTCATAAAGTGATTCAAAAATTCACTAATCTATTGAAATAAATACTCTAAAAGATAAGCACACTATTTATTAATTATATATTTTCTTATTTTTCTATTCTTACCAGTGTAATTACTGTCGGGCCCTGACAGTAGGGTAAATTACTGTAAACATAGGCGTAGCCAGGGGGGGCAAGGGGAAATTCCCACTCCGCTTCAGAAATTTATCACTTTTTGTGAATATTATTTTAAGCTAATAAAAAATATCCCCCTTAGTCCTCCCCCCACTCCCGGACCCCTAAAAATGTATGCATATATCTTAAACAATAATTTAAAAGAAAGAATATAAAATTTGATATTTTTTTATAAAACTATTTATCATAATTTATACAAATTTGGAAAAAAGCATTTATATATAAAAAAAATGAACCAAAAATGTTTTTTAAGAAATGGAATATAAGCCAAAGATAAGTCTTAAGACAAAAGTGAAATGTATTATAATTATTAATAATAAATCCATAAAATTACTAAATAATATAATATATCAAATATAATTTTTTATAAAGTGAGTAATTTTAATATATTTATCTTAATAAAAGTAAAATATAATTATAAAATTATTGATAAAATTAAATCATAAATTAAATAAAAAAATTAAAGCACAATACAAATAGTGGAATATTATATGTCGTAGTTACAGTATATCTAATTTTAACAATTATAATATGACAATAAAGTAATTTTTACCAATATAGCGAATTATATATTTTACAGAAAACTATAAAATATTGATAAGGACATCAGAAAATATCATTTAAAGACATTGTGGGATAAATAATATGAAGATTAATTTTTAATATCATTTTTTGTTTAAAATAAATCGTTAAATAATTGAATGGAAATTGTTGCTATATTTATTATCAAGAGCATTGATTAGTAAAATTAAAATATTAACTGTAATATATTCTTTAACTGTCAAATATGTCTGTAAAAGTGGAATTTACCTAATATTTTGTAACTAATTCTATATAATCGAGGAATATCAATTATATGTCTACTTACTTTTTATAAATAATTTTCTTATACTTGTTTGGAATAAATTATTACCATGATTTTATATTAATGTATATACAAGTAATTTATTATATTTTATATAAACTAATAAAAATATATTTCATAATTGTTCCAGGCTTATTTTTTTTATTAAAATTAACCTCCTATCTTGTAAAAATATTTTAAGACTATATATACAATAAGGTAACCCGGCCGAAGGCCGGGCAAAATCGGGGCTCAAAATGGGGTCTGGGGGCGAAGCCCCAGTAATTAATTCCCCCTCCCTCAGGAAAATCCTGGCTACGCCTATGTGTCAATTAGTGTATCAGGTATGATCATCATTCTTTAATTAAAAGGGCCCTGATAGTAGGGTAAATTTTACTCAGTGGATGCTAATTCACTGCACTGATAATTAGATGCAATATACCTAATTAAATTTTTAATAATCATTCATTAATGTTATTTCTAGATTTACCATCAAATATTTTGTTACAATTATGGATTCATATAATCATTCAAAAATTCACTAATCTATTGAAACAAATACTCTAAAAAGATAAGTACACTATTTATTAATTATATTTTCTTATTTTTCAATTTTTACCAATGTAATTACTGTCGGGTCCTGTCAGTAGGGTAAATTACTGTCTATTAGTGAATACCATCATCCTTCTTTAACCCTTTAAAGTCTTGTGAGCTAATATGACATCATCATATTGCATGCTATTTTATAACGTTTAAAACCACTCAATGATTTAATTTAACAATTTAAAATAAATATATAATGTATTCAATCGTATTTTATTAATAATCAAAAAAAAATATGATTTTATTTTTAGTTTATTATCACTTAACTTCTGACTATATTTCCATTTCGATTTTTCTTAAATTACTTGATTTTACATATTATTTATATATATTTAAATTGAAAAATTCTGAAAACTGTTTATTTTATAGAGAAGATAAAATATTCAAGTATTTCATCATGAATTTATATTTTTTTTAAATTTTAATTATTTTTGTAAATATAATTTTAAAATTATAATCCCAAATTAATTCATTGGGAATTTAATGTTGTTTTATTAACATTGAATTTATATATTATTTTTACAGATGTAAAATAAAATAATTATAATTGAAGGTGATATTTTGGAAACAGATATTGATAGTGAGGACAATTTAAATCATCCTATTGACAATATGGATGTAGATTCATCCACAAATGCACTCCACATAAATCCAATTAGGTTGCAATTCGAAAAGCGATTACGATCTCAAGAAAAAGGGGAGAGGTAGTTTCGACTACAAAACTGACATTAATAATATAATAATGGTCAAATGGTTTGACAACAAATTTGTTCATGTTATTTCATTTGATAGATACATGCATTGTGAATGTATGGTTATTGTATTGAAAGCATTTACTTAAAAAAATGAATTTTTTTTTATAAAACTTATAATATTTAAATCTCAAATAGTTACTGCTTTATTAATGGCAGGTAAAATTAGTAAAAGAAAAATAGGGAGACCTTTAAATGAAACTCCTAAATTACAAAAAGGATCTAGCTCAGGTAATATCAGATAGATACGATAATATAGGGCATTGGCCAGAAGCGTCCAAAACTGGAAAAAGGTGTAAATTATGGGTTAGCGCAAATTCAAGGACTAAGTTTGAAAAATTTGAAATTTATTAATACTCCAACCAGGATAGAAATTGTTTCAAAACATTTCAAAATAAATATATATATATTTTTTTATACATGCATTTCGCTCAATGTTGTCAAATTGTATCATGATTTTTTTTTACCTGTAAACTATGAAACAAAAGTCGTAAATAAAAATTTTACATACTTAGTTTATATAAATGAAGATTTTTTATAAAAGTTTTTTTTTAGTTTTATTTTAAAAAGTCGAGCTTTAAAGGGTTAATTAAATCTGACAGTAGGGTAAATTTTACTGCCAAACAGTGGTAGCAAATTCACTGCACTGAATATGCCCCCTTTTAGGTGATGGAAGCTACTAATTGAGTTTTATTAAATGCAATGATATACCTTAAATTTTTCTATTAAATATTAACAGTTGAGTCTTTAAATCTTTCATCAAGTTTATTTTGAAATCTAGATATTTGCATACCATCTTTAAATCTTCCATCAAGTTTATTCTGAAATATGGGTATATATTTGAGTATCATAATAATATTTTCAGAGTTTTCCATAATATTTATAAATAGAACTGACTGAATGAATGTTTAGTTTGTAAGGTGATTACTATTGGACCGATTATGCTATAATCATTTTTATTAGACAAATATATTTTAAAAGAACACTATTGGCTAAATTTGATTGATGTTTTTTGAGGATTATTGTTAATATATAAAATTTGCATATTTTTTATTTTCCTAATTTTCGTAAATGTTAATTTAATCTAAGGACGAATTTTATTTAATGATTTTTTATATTTTCCTAATTTTCGTAAATGTTAATTTAATTTAAGAACGAATTTGTTAAAAATTAATCTATTTTATATATGTAAATTTAATATATATAGTTGTAAAATTTTCGATATATTCAGTATTAGTAATAGTAATAAAAATAAAGTAAAATTAAATAAAAGATTTCAAATATATTTTTTGGTTTTTCTTTACCTGCCTTCCATGAAAATAACATGGTGGTAGATAATTATTACGCTACAAATTATACTGGAACATGGTGAAGCTAGACGAAAGAGGGTTATGGAGAATGATGTTAATATAATTCTAAAAACACGTAAGAGATGATTAAAATATAAAATTAAAAATAAATATAATAAAATTTTAATGATGAAATATTTAAAATATGAATAAACCTATATAAGACAATAATGATAAAACAAAATTTATAGATTAATTAGAAGATTATTAGTAAAAAAATTTTTTTAAGGATGATGAAATACGATGAGCACGATAAAGGGGTGAAGTCGCACGTACACAGATATCAGTGGAAACCGAGATATGATAATTATGGGAATATTTTGATTCGAGACATACAAATAATTATGAACCAAAATATCGAAACAATTATAATCCTAGAGTTTATGATAATGATAGAGGGTATAATGGCCCAGGACCGTAATAATTTTACAAGATTTAACAATATAAATAATTATAACTACAATAACTATAGATATAATAATAATGATAATTACAAATATAATGAAAATAATTATAGTTATTATAGACATCAGAACGAATCGAGATACATACCTAGATACAATAATAATCAGAACGAATCGAGATACATACCTAGATACAATAATAATCAGAACAATAATCAGTCATACAACAACAGATTTGTCGTAAATAGAATGGATGATGATGACAAGGCAAATGATGATTACAAAGTTACGATATACCTTAATGATTTACCAATAGTCATGCAGATCAACACCGGGTCACGATTTTCGATATTGCCGATTAATATTGCTAAAAAGATAGGAATTAAAGTCTTAAATAAATCGGGTACGAAACTGACTGGCTATGATGGGAGAAGAATAGGAGCTAGGAATCGTTAAAATATTAGTAAGATATGAAGACTAAACTCAAAAATTAGATGCGTATGTAGTCCAAAATGACAAAATTGCAATTCTGGGAAGGACGTGGATAAAAATTTTGGCAACATACTTAATTAAATTGTAAATATAATCGAGGAAAATAGAAAAGTAGATAGTAAAAATTATGAAGGTACATATTACAATAAAAAGCATGAAATTTATAATTATAAATACCATAATAATAAAAACTTGAATAAAAGTGAATTATGTAAATTAATACCAAATGTTAAAAAAGAAATAAATTCTTATAAATTAGAAGAAATAAATCATATGATAACAATTGAAGAAATAATAGTTATTAAAAACTATAATGAAATAAAAATTGAAGAAAATAATAAAATAAAAAATTTTATAATTAATAAAAAATTTATAAAGAAAATTAAAACAAATCTTAAGGTGATTAAATATCGTGATGTTGAAAGAGAGATTAACAGTACGATATGGAGATCGTATGTTGAAAATGGAAGGAGAAAGAGAAATTTTGTTATAAAGAACAAGTTGAAGAGAAATTATGATATAAAAAAAGTGTTTAAATTGAAAAATAAAGGAGTAAAATTTAAAAATAAAAATAATTAAATAAAAAATAAAAAATTATAATATAAAAACAAACAATTCCAAATATGCTATTATTCTATATTTCAAATTATGAATCTTATTCTTATGAATGATTCTGTTAAATTATTTATTCCATTATCATATCAATTATTCCAAAAATATTTTATTTGAGATAGATTGATCCTAATATATATTTACAAACATTGATAAAAATGATAATAAATAACGAGATGAACAAGCTAATGGGAGGATGATATTCAAGCGAATGATTAGACGAAAAGGATAACAAGCTAGGAACAAATCAATGAAAAAGATATGACTGAGGCTAAACAACGAATAAAATATAATATGAAAATTCTACTACAAACAACTGAAAAAATTTTTAGAGGGGGAAGAAGTGAACAAGTTCAAGTTCAAAATTCGAAAATTCAAAGTCAAGTTCAAAATTCGAAAATTCAAAGTCAAGTTCAAAAGCGAGAATATGACCTACGACATAGAAAATGATTGTTATAAATAAATAAAAATTTTTGTAAAAAATATATATATAAAATTTTGAAAGAGAAATGGGATGATCAATACAAACAGCAAATCAACAAGCAATGTTCAACCAACGACGTTTCAACAATGAGGTTCAACCAAGGATGTTTCATGATGTTCGATAATCGATTCAACAAACGATAATCAGATGGTCAAACAAACAATCTAAAGATATACGAACAAATGACTTATGGAGCAATTGAGAAACAAATATCTGGAAGTGAAGATAAGAAACTGAGGAAAGAAGACATTTTAAAAAAAGGGGGAAATTTTAATATATAAATATTCCATATTTTTTACTTTGTAATTAATGACCTTTTTGTAAAAATTCTTTCTTTTAAATTTATTTAATGACCTTTTATATTTTCCTAATTTTCGTAAATGTTAATTTAATTTAAGGACGAATTTGTTAAAAATTAACCTTAAATTGTATATATGTAAATAGTATAATATATATAGTTGTAAAATGTAGTAGTAATAGTAATAAAAATAAAATGATAAATTAAATAAAAGATTTAAAATATTTTAATACTTTTTCTCTCCTGCCTTCCATGAGAATAACATAACCTTATATATTTTTTTTGTTTATTTATTGGGATTATTGATTTAATTTTAAAATGTTGTCGAAAATATTAAATATTATATATAATGTTTTTTTTAATATAAAAAAAAAATTATCATTATTCGGTTTTATTTAATAAAAAAATTATCAATATTCGTTTTTAATTTATAATAAAAAATTACCATGTTATTTATGTTGAGTGAAATTTACAAATTTATTTCAGTGTGTTGTTTTTACCTCATTATCAGTTTTTAATTTATCTCAATTTAGCAGTCGCAACAATTTGGTGCCTTTTTTTTAAAAAAAATAATAAAGATACCTACAAAGTTATTCAGCGGCATAAAGCAAGTATTAATCACTATACGAAAATTACAATAAAGTAAAAATTTGAAGGTAAAGGTAAAATATTTTTTTTAATTTTATTTTAAAATGTATTTTTGTATAACTGTAATTATGACCATAATCACTCTTATAAATTTGTTAGCGTTAACTAAAGTAAAAATATTTTTAATAAAGGTTTTAATTATTTTTTATCTGTTCAAAAAACATAAAAATTATATAAAACCAATTACGAAGGACTACTAATAAAATTTATAAAAATTGAAATATAAAAAAATAACCATGTTTAATCGTAAAAAAAATATAAAAACGTTAAATATATAGAATATAGTAATAATTATTTTTATGTAATTTTAATTTTACTTATTGGATTAATTTATGTATGGAGAAGAAATAAATTAAAGAATATATTAAAGAAAAAAGTTATAATGAATAAAAAAATTGATGAAAGGGAAAAAATTATTTATGATATATCTAAATTTAAAGATGAAATATGGGAAATATGGAAAGGAAATATCATTAGCGATATTAAAAAAGAAATTAATATCGTTAGAGATACTGTAGAAGAAAATAAATTTGAAAAATTAATGTTGGAAATAGGTAAAATTAAAAGAAAAATAGAAGAAGAAAAAAATAAAGGGATCGGAAAAAGTAAAATGGAAATAAAAAATAATGAAATAGAAAAATTTTAAATAGAAGAAAGGGGAATTAAAGAAGTAATAATAAATGAATTAGAAAAATTAAAATTAGAAATAGTAAGAAATGAAAAAGAAAAGGAAGAAATAAAAAAAAGGAAAATTGAGGGAATAAGGAAGATATTAAGAGAAGATATTGAACGTGAAAAAAGGGAAGAAGAAGAAATAGAAAATAAAAAGAAAGAAGAAATGGAAAAAGTTGAGGTAAAAAAAGTGGAGAAGGAAATTTTTAAATTGGAAGTAGAAAAAATGTGAATAAAAATAAAAGAAATAGAGGAATAAATAAAAAAGAAGAATAATGAATCTGAACATATTTATGAAGATAATAAAAGAGGGAATATTTATCAAAGAGAAGATGGCAGGAATCGACAGATAATAAGGGGGCCAAATGGACCATGTTTTATTTGCGGAAAATATGGACATATAAGCCGAGATTGTAATGAAAGAATTATGCAGAAAACTCTACCAATTGTTTGTGGAAGATGTGGAAATACTGGTCACAATGCAAAAATGTTATGTGTCAACTTTTAAAATACAGGAAAACGAACGAAGGTTAATGTCATGTTCAAATTGTGGAAGAACAGGTCATACTTTGGATAAATGTTTGAAAGGAACAAACAGGTATCAATGCGTTTCCATCGGTTGCGTTTTCACTTGTTAAAAACGGATTACCAGGAACGAATATTATAAATGAATATAATAATGTAATACCTAAAGAAACGAAAAATGAAGGAAATAATGCTCAAGTAATAACTTGTTTTCGGTGTAGAAATATTGGACATTATGCGAGGGATTGTCCTATAGTATGACTGTATTATAGTGAAAAAACAACATTTGGGGTTATTACATCGGAAAACCCATTAAATCAATAGAGCTAATTAATACCGAAAAATACATTAAGTTTTAAAAATAAATTGGGAATCAAAATAAAAGAAGAAATAAATAATAAGGATTCGGTTATCAAAAATAAGGAAAATGAGCAGCCCAAGTCAAGCGTTCAAATTTGTAATATGCCAATTTTAGATTAAAATAATAATAATTATGATGATTGTCCGCGCGTGAAAACTAATATGGGCAATAAAGAAATTACAATGTTATTGGATACAGGAGCTACTATATCGGTCATGTGATGTAAAGAATTTTATAAATTATGGCCTAATAAGCAAATAATAAAGGATAAAATAATAGTAAAACGGAACTGAAATTGTAGTTTTGGGAAGGGTAAATTTATCAGTTAATTAAAGAGACAGTGTATTTTTTTGGATCTTTGGATACGTAAGGAAGAAATTGGTGCGATTATGGGTTGGGCTTGGATATCATGGGTTAGAGAATAATTTTTGGGATATGTTTCACGTTAAAAATAGAGTTAATGAAAATATTGAAATACCAAAAATAACCGTAGAGGAGTTGAATATTAAAAACGTAGAAAATAAATTGGCAAAAATATGATGTCAGAAAATATTAAAATTAAAAGTTTGATGAATAATAATCAGGAAATTAAAGAAATTCATAATTTGGAACTAGATGTTGTTTCAAAAACTGATGATGATTTTAAAAATTTGGAGATTAAAAATGAAATAATGAACGAAGAAATCAAATTAGAATGTAATGAGAGAAGTATAAAGAATGGAGAAATTGTTTGTGTGGAAAATAAAGTTAAGGGTATTGATAAAATTGAAAATTTAGTAGATAATATTTTGGAAATTACGGAAAATGTAAATTAATAAGTGGGGAAACTGATCAGGGTTTTCCTGAAATTGTAAATATTAATTGCGACGAAAATTATATTAATGAAATGGATAAAATTTTGGATTTGAAAATCGATAATGTTTGGAAGCTAATGTTGAGGATTTTAAGTTGGAAATTGACAGTAAGGTATTTGAAGAAGAATCTGAGTTAAAGAATAGTTATATAAAATGTGATAAAATATACAGGAAAAATTGCCTGTATCACTAAAATTCCCAGCGAAATTTGTAAGAAAAAAAATGATAAACGAAGATTTGTTAAAAGAAAAAGAGTCACATGAAAATTTGGAAAAGTTACGGATAAATTTAGGGGTTAAATATGAAGAAATTTTTGAGGAAAAATTGGGATGTTTGGTGGATTATGAAGTAGATATACGTTTAAAAGAGGGATATATACAACAGTATTGTGCAGTTCGCGGGGTACCTTTCGAATGGAGGGCTGAAATGGAAAATGAAATGTGTTACGTGATAAAATTATTGTCCTATTGGATATAGTGAATGGGCAACACCATTAGTTCCGGTGCGGAAGGACAATGGAAAGTTGAGAATTTGTGCAGATTTTCGTGTTACTCTTAATCCATGGGTAGTTGAAGTAAAATACTCGTTACCAAGAACCAAAGAAATTTTAGCAAATTTAAAAGGGGCAAAATATTTTTCTAAAATAGATTTTTCATGTGCATATTTGCGATTACCTGAAAGAATGTACAAGGAAATTATTGACAATAACAACGTTTAAAGGATTATTTACTTTTCGTCGGTTAACCGTTTGGGTTAAGTATTTCAGCTCCTATTTTTCAGCACACTATAGCGACAGTTTTTCAGGGTTTAGAAGGATTTTTTTATTATATGGATGATGTTTTAGTGACGGGAGTAACGGTTGAGCAACACAATCAGAGATTAGAGGATGTTTTCATAAGAATCAGAGATAAGGGTTTAAAAGCGAGTCGTGAAAAGAGTGTTATGGAAGTAAATGAAGTTACATATTTAGGACATAAAATAAATGGGACCGAAATAAGGCCCTTAGATAAAAATTTAATGAGTATTGTGAATATGAATAAACCTACTACGAAAACGGAGGTACAATCTTTTGGGTATGGTGAATTATTATAATCGTTTTATAGAAGATTTTGCTAAATTGGCTGCGCCATTATATGAATTATTAAAGAAAAATGTACATTTTGAATGGAAAAATGAACAAGAATTGGCGTTTATGGCATTGAAATTGAAAGTGGGAAAGGAACCCATTTTGGTATGTTATAATAATGAATTGGAAGTGATTTTAGCGGTTGACGCATCCAATAAATGTGTGGGTGGAGCATTGTTACATTTAATGGACGGAATTGAGAGACCTGTATAATTTTTTTCGAGAGTATTTCGGGATGTAAAAACACGGTATTCGATGATTGAACAAGATGCATTAGCTGTTATTTTCGGCCTTAAAAAATGTCGGGAATATTTAATTGGTAGGAAATTTGTAGTATACACGGATCATAAGCCGTTGATTTATTTATTTAAGAAGGATAATAAAGAATTGATGATTTCACCTAGACTTCAACGGTGGTTATTATTAGTGGGTAGTTTTGATTTGGAATTAAGGTATAGGCAAGGAAAAGAAAATCATTTAGCAGATATTTTATCTAGATTGGGAGTTGGTGAAGAGACCGATGAGAAACTGTCAGGTCAATATAAGAAAGGAGAAGCGGCTCTAATTTGTACTTTAACTTGTGGTTTAAGGGGCGGTCCCACCACATGGGAGGATATTAGAAATTATATATTAAAAGATAAGAAAATGAAATTATTGAAATTGCAAATAACGGGAAAAAAACCATGGGAAGCTTGTTAAAATAAATATAATTGTATTGAAACTGAGTTAACGGACGGTTGCATTATGAGAGGGCATAGGGCTGTTATACCAAGTTAACTGAGAGGCAAAGTTCTGAAAATATTACACGCGGGACATCAAGGGATTTCGCGAATGAAACAGTGGGGAAGGGAATATGTGGTGGCCTGGAATGAATGGGGAAATTGAAAAAATAGGAAAAAATTGTGAAGACTGTAACGCATGGGCAAATATGCCGTGTCGGGATAAGAAAAATGTATGGCCGAAAGTAAATAGGGCTTGGGAAAGGGTGCATATAGATTTTTTTGGGTAATGATAAAATATTTATTTTAAGTGTAATGCTTTTTCAAAGTGGATTGAATTTGAAGGGGTACATGGTTTAACTATGGGAATTGTTATTAAACATTTAAAAAAATTATGGTCTAGATTCGGCATTCTAAAATGGGTGATTTCCGATGGTGGTCCAAGATTCGTGAGTGAAATGTTCGGAAGTTTTTGTTTGAAAAATAATGTGCAACATATGTTAGCACCACCGTATCACCCTAGTTTTAACGGACAGGCAGAAAGATTGGTGGCTGTTGTGAAGAGTTGGTTGAAAAAGGCCAAAGAAGGCAAAGAAGAAGTTTGGATAGCTCATTTATATAATAATAATGGGGTAGGAAGGGATGGTAAATCTCCTTCGGAAAAAATGTTGGGAAGGAAAACTAATACATTTTAGATATGTTGAAACCGGTTTCGAAAAATGTCATTGGTTAATCAAATGGTCTGGGTTAGAATGTACGGGAGTGGTAAAAAATGGGAAAAAGGAATTATTATATAAAATTTAGGTAATAAATTATGTAAAATAAAATTAGAATATATGACGGAAGTGCGTCGCCATAGAGATCAGATAAAGTGTCGCGTAAATACCCTAGGTTAATTTTTTTGTGTTGGGATGGGTCAATAATTTAAAAAAAAGAGAAAAATCTGAATTGAACATATTTATGAAGATTATTGAATTTGAATTAATATGTATTTTTCGAGGTTAAGTTTGATTTAAAAAATATAGTAAAAATAAAAACAAGAAATAGAGTATTTATTAATTGGGGTATAGTTGTAAATTTATTTAATGCGATTGAAAAAAAGGTTATAAAAAAAAAATTTATTTTAAGGAAAGTTAACAAAATCATGTATTTTAAAAAAATATATATTTTATTTAAATATTAAAATTTAAATAAATGAGTTCACACATAAATCAAAGAAAATTCAAATAGAAAAATTGGAAATATTTTTGGGATCAAGCATAAATCAAAGATAATTCAAATAGAAAAATAGGAAATATTTTTGGGATCAAGGATAAGTTTGGTTTAAAAAAAATTATATATAGTAAAAATAAAAACAAGAAATAGGGTATTTATTAATTGGAGTATAGTAATAAATTTATTTAATGTGAAGTAATTAAAAAGAGGTTAGAAATTAAATTTTTTTTTATTTTAAAGAAAGTTAACAAAATCATTTATTAAAATTTTTTTTTATTTCTAAATAAAATAATTTAATTATAAAAAATGTTTGGGATTTTTATTCTTATATTAATTTAAAGAAAGTTTCGGTTTTGTATAAATAAAATAATTTAAATATAAAAGAAAATTCTGAATTTAAAATAAATTTTCTAAAAATAATGAACAATATGATGACTTTCTACATTAAAACGTCACAATCCGTAATTCAAGTGAACCAGGCTAATCTAGGGAGTCCTTTGGCCGATGCTTGGTTAGATAGATGGTTGATACAACATGATTAAGCCTCAATTTGCAATAAATGAACGAGGGGCTCCGTACACCTTACCTTCAACAAACAATTACAATTATGAGATTGATGATACTTAACTAAATGATCATGACTGACCAATGATGTAATGGATCAATCTAGGACTCATAAACACAATACCATCTGTCCGAAACGTAAAAGATGAACGACGCAATATTAAAAGGCTAGCAACGTTATAATCGACTCATTAATTCAACTGAAACAATACTTCGACAGGGTGTATGAAACGATAAAAAAATAAATAAACATATAAACATTATATATGTGAGTTATTTATTGAAATTTTATACACAGATGGTTTTTCTAAAATAATTACTCGAAAATGTATTATTTTTGTCCCGGGTTTTTGTTCCTTAAAAAAGGGGGCGTGTTGTAACCTTATATATTTTTTTATGTATTTATTGGGATTATTGATTTAATTTTAAAATGTTGTCGGAAATATTAAATAATATATGTAATGTTTTTTTGAATATAAAAAAAATTTATCATTATTCGGTTTTATTTAATAAAAAAATTATCAATATTCGTTTTTAATTTATAATAAAAAATTACCGTGTTATTTATGTTGAGAATATTAAAATTTACAAATTTATTTCAGTGTGTTAGTTTTTACCTCATTATCAGTTTTTTATTTATTTCTGTTTAGCAGTCGCAACATTAATCTCTCATCAAGATGTGATTCAAACTTACACTCTTGTCCAAATTTTTATAGCTGCTCTGAAAACTCAGCCTGTTTCGTACTCCCCTTTCTAGAACTTAATAGATTTATAGTGGGTCTAAAAAACCTATTTCAACTATTTCATTATAATTTAGTTCCTTCAAAATTCTTCGATATATAAATCCTCATCTCTACCAAATTACTAATCCCTATTTACGTAATGTGTTTTCCTTGGTTTCCTTATCCACAAATATTCCTCTTATCTAAAAAGCATCATCTATATATTCAAAATAGTCGAAAATTGTTTTGTTTATCAAAATTATCAAATTTATGAGTTATATTTATTAAAAAATTTTTTACATGTTTATCATTGTTCGTTTTACTTATAATATTAATTTCACCTTGATTCATCACTTTTACCAATTGTTGGTTTTTCTTCTTTGAGGATCCTTCGTCGCCATTGAAGTAAAGTCTAAAACACAGTCTCATAGGCGAAGCCAGGGAGGGGAAAAGAAAAATCACCTCCCCCCCCCACCATCAGAAATTTATCACTTTTTGTGAATATTATCTTAAGCTAATAAAAAATATCCCCCTTAGTCCTCCCCCCACTCCCTGACCCCCAAAAATGTATGCATATAACTTAAACAATAATTTGAAAGAAAGAATGTAAAAGTTAATATTTTTTTATAAAAATATTCATCATAATTTATAGAATTTTGGAAAAAAGCATTGATATATAAAAAAAGTGAACCAAAAATGTTTTTTAAGAAATGGAATATAAGCCAAAGATAAGTCTTAAGACAAAAGTGAAATGTATTATAATTATTAATAATAAATCCATAAAATTACTAAATAATATAATATATCAAATATAATTTTTTATAAAGTGAGTAATTTTAATATATTTATTATAATAAAAGTAAAATATAATTATAAAACTATTGATAAAATTAAATCATAAATTAAATAAAAAAAATTAAAGCACAATACAAACAGTGGAATATTATATGTTGTAGATTTACAGTATATCTAATATTATCAATTATCATATGACAATCAAATAATTTTTACCAATATAGCGAATTATATATTTTACAGAAAACAATAAAATATTGATAAGGACATCAGTAAATATCTTTTAAAGACATTGTAGGATGAATAATATGAAGATTAATTTTTAATAACATTTATTATTAAAAATAAATAGATGGCGTTAAATAATTGAATGCAAATTGTTGCCATATTTATTATCAAAAGCATTGATTAGTAAAATTTGTTAAAATATTAACTGTAATATATTCTCTAACTGTATGTCTGTAAAAGAAAAAGTGAGTAGGCATATAGTTGATATTCCTCTAGTATATAGAATTAGTTACAAAATACTAGGTAAAATTCCACAAATTTCTTATACTTATTTGGAAATTAATACCAAGCTTTTATATTAATGTATATACAAGTAATTTATAATATTTTATATAAACTAATAAAAATATATTTTATATTTGTTCCAGCCTTATTTTTTTATTAAAATTAATCTCTTATCTTGTAAAAATATTTTATGACTATATATAGACTAAGGCGGCCGAAGGCTGGGCAAAAGCGGGTCTGGGGCCGAAGCCCCAGTAATTTTCTAATTCCCCCCCCCCTTAGGAAAATCCTAGCTACCCCTATACTCAGTCTCTTTATTTGTTGCCTAATCAAGAATCACATTATAAACGGTAATCATATATAAGATATAATCATGATATATAATACAAATAAACTATAAAATAAAATGTTTGAAATAGAAATATAATAATATTTTATATAGCATTTATCACAGTTATATAATAAAATTGATGTTTTAAAATATTATTCAGAAATTATTCAGATATTTTCTAGGTACTTTGTATCAATAATATTTTCATATTAAAAACTTATATTTATTACATTCCTTGTGCTTAAACTTTTCTACCAATTTTAGAAGTGTAAAATGTCTTCAGCGGTAAAATTTAATTTTTTTACTTATATATAGCTTATACTTTTAGTTACCTCTTAACCCTAAACCTTTTTTGAATAGTTTGACTGGTAAGAAAGTTATAGTTAAACTAAAGTGGGGTATGGAATACAAAGGTTTCTTGGTGTCACTTGATGGCTATATGAACCTACAAGTTTTCTTAATTTTTTGAACTGTTTTATCATTTTTACTAGTTAGCTAATACAGAAGAGTATATAGATGGACTTTTAAGCGGAAACTTGGGGGAAGTATTAATTAGGTAATCATGATTATAAATATTAATTTATTTTTTTCAAGATGTAATAATGTAATGTATATCAGAGGTTGTGATGAAGAAGAAGCTCTTAAAGAAAAATAGCAATTTTTTATAAATTTATTTGTTTATATCAAAACGATTATTATTTTTTTATTTCATAAATTTTAAATAAAAGTTTTAAAAATCATATGCTCGTTTTTCTTATAAATGTAATTAAATTGTATGTTCCTGAATATAAATTAAACCCATTCTATTTAGATTTGTTTAATGCTATTTATATTTTTTTTATTAGTTATCAAATTTATAGTTAGTGTTAGAAACCATTTAAGTGATCTATCAAAGGATTCAAGTTTTAGTAGTTTTTTTATATTCCCTTGATCTATTTTTTGAGATATTGCATTTTTTTTTACTGATTTCATCTTTTTTGTAATTTTCTATTTTGATGTTCTCATGTTAGAAATATTTTGCTCGAGTATAGATAAATTTTTTATCACTCACTAAGTACGAAGTTTACTAATAGGGAATCAATTAATTTTATTTTGTTTACAAAGCCATACAAATTATTAAAATGCATAAATGATTGGAATTTGTTTGAATAAATTGTAAAATGTTTTTTAAATTTGTATATAATTTGTTTTCAATTGAGATCATTGATAGAATGGATACGATTATGAAAAGTCTTATTTCTACTTTTTAAAGATTAACTCCTATCCTGCACTTTTATTTGTAAGGGCTTAGGATAAGTTTTGATTATTTTTCTAAATTGTGTAAAGTTGGATTTTTTTTTGATATTTAATTTATGATCTAAAATATTTTGAATAATTCAACATTATTCACTCTAAATTAATTATTATCTTTAAAAAATGAGTGGGGATTTCTAAAAAAAAATAAAAATTTCTTTCTATTTTATTTATTAAAATAAGCTTTTTTAGCTAATAATTGTGATTTAAAATTAAATTATTAGCTATAAATATAATATATTATAAAAAAAATCCGGCCATATATTTTAAATCACCATTATTAGCTATAAATATAATATATTATAAAAAAAATCCAGGCTGGGCCTAAAAATATAAAACCCTGCTAGCCATGGCAATAAAAAAAATCCGGCCATATATTTTAAATCACCATTATTAGCTATAAATATAATATATTATAAAAAAAATCCAGGCTGGGCCTAAAAATATAAAACCCTGCTAGCCATAACAAAAAAATTTTAAAAAAAATCTGGGTCGGGTTGTGGTTTTGATATAGTATAAGAATTAATGTTGTTAAAGTAAGTAGTTACTTGGGGTAACTATTTTTTTACTAAAAAATAACTGTAACTAATTATACTTTAAAAATTGTAACTAGTTATAAATCAAGTTTTTTTGAACTTTTCATATGGATTTGGATTTCTACAATAACAATATTTTTGCTTAAAACTAATTATATATAGAACTGATGAGTCTCAATTCAGAAAATATTGTCCTTTTTAACACTTTAAAGAAATTTTTTAGGATTGGATCTTTAAAAAAATACTCCTTTGATCATTACGTAAAATGAAATCAAAGTTAAACTAAATCCTTTTCATTTTTTATAATTCTATCTGGGAAAGTATAAAAAAAATTAATTATATAGATTTTTAGCCAGAAAAATAGGCCCTTATTTTATAAAATAATAAATATAATAATTTTTTCCATCCTTTCTTGTATAATTATTTTTTAAGCTGGTGCCAACTTCTCATTGTTTTTTTTTAAATAATAATACAAAGTATTTAAAAATAATATTTTTCTAATTTTTATATTTAAATCTCACTTCACATTTCAATTTAATTTAATTATTTTTAAAAATTTTCTGAAAATTAAAATATTATATAATGAGTGATAAGGAAGATAAAAGCCTTTTTGGATTAGATATGATATCTTCATAATTACAATCAACACAATATTCGGATCCTTCGTTAACCACTCCTCTACATCGTTAGATATGAAGGAGAGTTTTGTTAAAACTACCACAAGATGCGTAAAAAATGTATTCATCCTTCAAAATAAAACAGAATGTAATCAACAAAAAAAAGGTTTAAACCGGTTCAAAACGGTTTTAAAAATAATTAATTTAAAATTATTAACCTAAATTTAAAATTTTAATTTTCCTGAAGTATATCAAAAACTTAATTCGTTAAAATTAGATATAGCAACTAGATATGATAGGTCCATATTGGGGATCAATATTCAATTTATAAATAACGGAAAAATAAAATTAAGGACTCTATGCATGAAAGTGATTAAAGAACGACACACATCAGAATATCTTAAAAAAATTATTCTAGATGTTGTAAAAGAATATGAAATAAAAATTGAGCAGATTTACACAATAACCACCGATAATGCAGCAAATATGATTAAGTTAATTAAGCTATTAATACTACACGATGAAGAAGTTGATGACCTTAACGATTATTTAATTAATGATGATTTAAATAATAATGATATAGATAATGACGATTTAAATAATAATGATATAATTCATGATGAAAATATAGAACTTTTTAAAATTGAAAATATTAATCTTGCACCAAATGCCAGATCCATATTAATAGGTATTAGATGTGCTTCACATACATTTCAATTAGCAATTAATGATTGTAAAATTCAAATGAAATTGTCATTATAAATAAAGCTAGAAACATCTGCAAAAAAATAAGAAATCAGACAACAATGGCTATTCTCTCAAATTAAATTTGAAAAAACCACTAATAGATTGTTGCACAAGATGGAACTCTATCTATTTAATGTTGGAGAGATTACTAGAGTTAAAAAGCTTTTGCCAAGAAATATCGCTTCAAAGCGATCGCGAAAAATGTTTATCAGAGAATGAATGGAAAATAATTAGTGACATATTAAAAGCTTTATATCCAGCTTATGTTTTGACAAAATATTTACAAAGTGAACAATTGACAATGGGCGATTTTTATGCTGCGTGGATCAAATGTCTCATGCAAACGAGTAAAGTAGACACTCCATTTACCAGACTTTTAGTTTCTACGATGAAAGCACGAGAAATAAATTTCAAAAATGAAGTTTTTTTCTCTGCTATTTATCTCGACCCTAGATATAATGTATTTTTAACTTTTGAAGAAAGAGAGATCGCCAGAAAACATCTTTGTAAAACTTGGATCTTGATACAAAATCTAAATAATCAGAATATTAAATTCTAAATACTATGCCTACGTGTTCGTATTCGAAGGATAATTTAGATGATGATTTTGAAGATTTATTAAAGTCGCATGAAAGTCTTAATAAGAATAATTCTCAGGGCACGAAAATTATAATAAATGTAGAGAAATAGAATATATAATTCGGTCATTTGATAATATAGAGAGATTAGAAAAAGATACTAATCTTTTGAATTATTGGGAAAATGTAAAGAATAGTATGCTAGAACTTTATAAGTTAGCTATAACTGTGCTAGCGGTTCCAGCTGCACAGGTCTTCCTAGAAAGAGCATTTTTAAGCCTTAAGTTTATACTCTCTGCCCAGAGAACTAAATTAAATCCTGAAATATTAGAAAATATTTTAGTTATCAGTTCATATTCTCTTTTTAAACCTAAATAGTATAGTATACATATTATTTTATTCATTATTGTATTTACGCATGTTTGTTTTTATCTTATTTATTTATAAAATAAAAAAAAACTAATTTGTCTAATTTATATTTCCTAAATTTAATAAAAATATCTATTAGATTATCATGGATAAATTAAATAAGAAATTATAAACTAAAAAGATTTTTCTTTAAAATTAATATATACATGGTTAATGATTAATTTTTTTTAAAATTAAATTTATAAAAACCGGAACAAAGTTTTGTATACATGTTAAATTAATATTTCAGTGAAAGTGTACTATGGAAAAGTGACAATTGTCATAATCGTTATTTTTTAACTTTTTTTAAAGTAAATGGGTAAAAATATGTTTTGTAAACATGTTAAATTAAAATTTCAGTTTAGATATGTTTTATATTTTTAAGTCACTAACAGTAATATCAACAATAAAATTCCTAAATATGCTTTTATTTATATATTCAAAATTAATGATGAGATATTTTCCTGCAAATCGTCATTCCTTGATTTGTATAAATTCAAGATTTTATTAATAAAACATTAATCACTTTAAATGATAATAAATTCCACTATTATGATTATACTTTATTCTTCATAACATCCGGAAATGTTTTTTTTAATATAATTTATAATAGTTAGCCAATATAAGATTAATATTTTTTTTCCTAAAATGTTAACTACGAAATATATTTAAATATAGAATCCTGCATCGGTTATTTGTATATCAACTAACTATAATATCTTTAACTTATTTATTTCAATTCTGTGAACGATCTGAAATTACAAGTTAGAGCTACTATTGAAATTTAAATCTATCAAAGTATTAAATAGCTTTTCAAAAATGAATATAATTACGAAATTAATTTTAGCATTTTCAAAGTTAGCCTTCATATTAATAATTATTTTAAACAATTACTAAGATTATACACCAAACATTCTAAGTTTATCTAAGTTTTTTTAGAAAAATGAAGGCCATTAGATAATTTTTTTTGCTATATTTTATTGAATTATGCTAGGCTCTCTCTTAGAAGGCCTTTGGTTAATTTATGTTTTAAATTTTCCTCGGGTTTATAATCTTTTTTTAAAATATTTCTCACAAATTTTATAAGGACATTATTTTTATTCATTTTTTTATAATTTTGTTACATCATATACGCACTTTTAGTTATTTGATAGGGGTAAATTCTTAACATGTTTACAAAACATATTTTTACCCATTTACTTTAAAAAAAGCTTAAAAATAACGATTATGACAATTGTCACTTTTCCATAGTACACTTTCACTGAAATATTAATTTAATATGTTTACAAAACATATTTTTACCCATTTACTTTAAAAAAAGTTCAAAAATAACGATTATGACAATTGTCACTTTTCTATAGTACACTTTCACTGAAATATTTATTTAACATGTTTACAAAACACACTTTTACCCATTTACTTAAAAAAAAGTTCAAAAATAACGATTATGACAATTGTCACTTTTCTATAGTACACTTTCACTGAAATATTAATTTAACATGTTTACAAAACATATTTTTACCCATTTACTATAAAAAAAACTCAAAAAAGTTCAAAAATAACGATTATG